TAGCTTCTATTCATTGACACATTACTAAATCGCTTTTGTAATTTGTTTCCATTTCCTTAATATAGGAAAAATTTTATGTTATTCATATTAAACGTAGTTATAGTATATGACCGGTTAGCTCTTCAATAAAGAAGCTTTATTAGGAGATCCAGGTCAAAGTCAAAAGTAATGAAATGACAGTTGTTAGCAATATTTTGTTAAACGCTAGCAATGTTGGCCCTGAATCGGACAACAGAATTGAAATAGGCCACCGAACGAGGTTTACAAACGCAATTTGCAGATGTATTAGAGAGTTAACGAGTGTAACAGATTGTAATATTAATTTAACAGCAAAGTTTAGAACAAAGAGTGTTATTATCAATGGTGATGATGCAACCAGTTTTGATAGTGATATTAGCAACTAAACACGTACCCCGCGTGGGATGTCAGAATATTGCACAAGATGTAAACGACGCTACAGATAATTATGTAAAATAGGTCACGAGGTTTTATTTACACCCTTTCTCTAGTTAACATCATTGCCCAATTTCTGATAACACTTTCAGACTACAAAGGCTAATTAAATTGATAAAACGCGTGTTAAATTTTTAACTCCATTGTCGCTTCCTTATTATATATCAGTATTGTGAAACTCCTAACAATAAGTGAATTTGTTTATTGCTTTATGATTTAATGAGCTATCGAAAAAAGCCATGACTCCTAGAGTCACGGCTAAACGTGATTTCCTAACTCATGTCAAAATATTTAAAATAATTTTGACGCCTTCAACCGGTTCTTAGATTTGCTTTCGTTTTTGGTTCACATTGTTTAAAGCGGAGATTGGATAACTTGGAAAATATCACCGAGAAATTACATAAAGTAGGTACGTAGTGTGAGAATCGTCTTAATTGCCTCTTCATTTACAACTATATATTTCGTATTGAATTTTGTAATAGTGAGAGGCCTGGTTTGAATCGCTCTTGTTTTTATTACTTTAATTTGACGCGGATGCTGGTCTATTAGAATATCCTATTTAAAAAACTATACATGTTCAACAACACTGTTTATATTAATTATTTATTACAAATAATAATGGTAGGTATAATAAGGATAGGTAATATTGAAGGGTCAACAATTAAAGCTATTTTTGTCTTTATTAACAGTTTTATAACAAAACATTCGTTTAATACACGATACTTTAAATGTATATTTCACAATAACGAAGACTAACATTTTATTTCAAATACTTAAATAAATATGCCGAGATAGTTAATATGATTTCTATCTTTAAAAATATATTTAAAAAAATTAATAACTCAAGTTAATATTGTATAAAAAATTTACACAATGATTTTCTTTTCCATATAGAATGCATGACCTACTGGATAATTTCGTCCTTGAACATTCGCAAATACAAAGAGTATGTACTTGTGAAAATTATGCTGATTTATTAATGTATTCGGTTCTCGTTTCGCCCGCATAGACAAAAACTAATGTTCCGGTATATTGAAATTCGAATCAACTCTAACAATTTGTTTACTAAGGCAAATTGTACTGATTACAGGGAGAACATCACCCCCCTTCATGACTGTATATCTGAAATACCGATTGTGTCATTCCATGGGCATTCTTCATAGACCAAAACAACGACACGTTATTAGTTCATATATTAAAACCAAGCGCTAGTTGCTAACATAAAAGTAATTTTAATTCAATAATCTATCTGTGTAACTTGCTGATTTAGAACAGTCACACAATATACTGTATTTCGTTCTTTAATTCAACAATGTAGTCTGATTTTAGATTTCACAGAGTTCTACAAAATGGAACTCAGTACTAATAAATTCAAACAAAAGTCACCACTAAGGGCCGGTTTTTTGATCCGTAGTTAACTCAACTATTGGTAAAAAATCGTTACTATTAGTTAAATATCAGCAAAATGCGTTTTTTGATCCGTGGTAAGAGCATCCAATGGTAAAATATCTAACCATTAGTCAAAAAAGTTAACTACTCAGTATCGGAGGGTTAAAAAGATGGCCGCTGGTAATTTATATACTAACAGCTGTTTGTCACAGAAATCAAACTATGATAAATACGTTTATTACTATCTAATGATGAATTTAAACATATTGAGATACTTTAATTAATGAGACGATGAAGAAGACGATAATATTATATGAGAATGTGTTAATGAGTGACCAAAAATATTTAGGCAATGTCATCCGCCATTAGAAACCTGGGATGATGTAGATTTTTGTCACTGTTACCCCCTATCGAAGGGAACAGTGCTCTGGATTGTTACTGAAATTGGGAATGATCTTAAACTGCCAATGAACAAGAGTATATATAGACAGCAGCTCATACCAACCTATTTTGCTTCATTACTAACTACAGAACCGCAGCAGTATATAATTAAGTATATTACTAATTCATTATGTGTTTTATTGCCTATAATATTAACTTATAATTATTATAATTAAATAAAATACAAGAACAAGAGTATATATAGACAGCAGCTCATACAAACCTATTTTGCTTCATTACTAGCTACAGAACCGCAGCAGTATATAATTAAGTATATTACTAATTCATTATGTGTTTTATTGCCTATAATATTAACTTATAATTATTATAAGTTAATATTATAGGCAATAGAATATATAATGAATTAGAGTTAATATTATTTATATATTACTAATAATATTAACTTATAATTATTATAAGTACATACAAGTATGTACTTATACTAAAAACTACAGCTACACATTAGTTAGGGACCTATGATATTCTTTAGGGCTTTTATTACATTTGTGAGTTAGCATCTATCTACTTTATTACAAGAATTTATAAATAAAACATTTGACTTGATTAATAAACTGTTTAATTATAACTTAAATACAAACCATTTTTATTAAAAAAACATTACAAAATTTACATGAAACCCTAAAGTAGCAATTAAATATTTTCTAATTGTTTCTTCTTGCATTTCACCTCAATTTGATGCAACTCTTTTTGCTGCTACATATATTTATTGTGCCTTTCTTCCATCTGCTGCATCACTTTTTGGTGCACCTCCTCTTTATGCAGTATGAATTTTTGGTGGGCCTCTCATTGGTGCAGCAAATGTTTTTGATGCTCTTCTTAAGCATAATTGAACAAATCATCCTCTCTTATTTGTCTTTGTTTCTAAACTCAATTTTTTTTTATCCGTGTGGATCATAATCCGCTTCCTTGTTTCCAAAGGGTTAAAAGATTTTTTCCTTTTGTTGTAGGACACAGCTATACAAGAATAAATATAAAAATGTGCCTACACCTTCATTAAATGTATATTAAATTTAACACTTCGGTGTCTAGACCCATCTGAGTTGAAAACGTCACAGAGATTTCCAAGCTGCATCTTTTTGTAGATTGCTGCAGTGATCAGTTGTTTGCAGGTTACGACTGTGTAATCCTTGAGAAGCATCACCAGTTTGTCAGTTTCTTTTTTGGCGAAGTTAGCAGTATGGTCCCTTTAACAAAACATAAATGTATTACTTTCTATTACGAAACACAAGATAAACCGGAATAAATAACACGAAAATATGTTTGAACTTACTTATTTGACCGTTGGCTGTTTGCGGACATCGTTATTTATATATTTAAGTATCGTAAAAAGTGTAAACCGTATTAAATCACAGAAAAACAACTTTATTTATATCGTGTTATTTAGATTAATTTGACACTTCAAACTCTTCAAAGCGCAAATAACGAATGAAGATGGCAAAAATGGATTTCATTCACTCAATATGTCTAGTGTTGTCATACAAAATAAATGATCCCCACAAAAAAGAACCACATTTTTTGGGATGTCATTGCTCATTGCACTGGCAACAAATTGACAAATTGTTAACTTTAACTATAGTTAAAAAGGCATTGAAAAACGCATTTACGATTTTACCAATGGTTATTCATTTAACTATAGTTAATGTAACAAATGGTAAAACCATTTTTTACTACGGATCAAAAAAGTCACCACTAAGAAGACACTGAGTTACGAACATTAAGTAAAATTAACTCCAATATTCAGTTACAAATGTTACACTTAAAATGCTATGAAATAAAACTAGACTAAAGAGAAAAATCTGAATAAAAAACGACGAACTCCTAATAGTAGTAAATTCAAATTGAATTGTCGACGTTTAGCTGTGAACGAGGTTTTAGATCTGTACAACATTGAATAGGCCATTGTTTGGGAATAGAAAAGGTCGCTAATAACATGATAAATACTGCTGTACTAATATTGTTTATAACGTAAGCACTTATACACAATTGATTGACATAGCAGATGGAAATTTTATTAAATTAACGCGAAGTTTAGTTATTTTTATAGTAGAATCAAAAAAAGAACTCTAATACGTATAACAAGCGTAATATCAGTTAGTATAAGTATAACAACAGAAATTCTAAACGTTTTTATATTATTATCAATGGCATTAACATTTCCCAATATAAACATATTGTTATTTCGTTTAAGCACCTATTGTAAAGGATGAAGTCATCCAAAGTAGCTCGAACGTTGAAACTTTCGCGTCAGCATTTCTCCAAGTGAAAGTTTACTAGTACTGTACATTGTACTTTTGTCACTAGCAGTTCAAAATCTTTATCATAAATCTAATCTTGACATTACCGACACGCCCACTGACGATATTTGAAAAGGAAAGTTATGTACGTTGCGCAATTTGGTTTTATTACGTTAAAACTAAATATTCGATCATAAATATTGTTGAAATAGCTCGGTAGGCTGTGCTATTTTACTCAGCGATGAGGCATTAATCGAATTTACGATAGAATCGATTGCTATTGATCGAATAGGTACGTATTGAGAATATCGATTACGCAGTGGCGTGAAAGTATTTTGCAGTAATCGAATTGTATCCGCATCCACTGAATCCGTCACGATTGCCCGTGGCTGCCATTTATTAATATTAAGCGAAAATTCGTTATCCAATTGGCCTTGGTACGCGTACCTTTCAGTTCTACAGATGAGGTTTGAAACATGTTATAGCTTTTATGGACGTGGAAAGGCTAGAAAACGTTTAACAAACAAATTTTCAATGCCACAAATGAGGGTAGTACAGAGTAGGTATCAATATGAACGGCAATCATAAATTTGAACGAAAATCCGACATGCTAGGCGATTTTGCAAGAATGGAAAGTGATCGTAGAACAAGGCTCGGCGCGTAGACGTCGAAAGTGAGACCGTGAGGTTGCGCAGCGAGTTACGAAGTTTTTATTGTCGGCCGCGCGCGAAATCACTTGAAAGTTGTATTGTCCTTGGATATTTAATTTCTTTATTTCTCACAGCACTCCTTTCACTAAAGTAAGCCTTACCGAGGGACGATGTGGGACGGGAGGTCGCCGGCACAGATCCGACTTTGTGTCACCTCCAGGTTGCACTTCAGCTCGGCACTTGCACAATACTTGTCCCGGTTACTTTCACTCAATCCAGGGTATCACACACTGTAATCCGGGCACAGTTCACAAGGGTGTCCGCGAGAATTGGCGCGACGGCGCTGCGGGCCGCGTGCGCCGGACGAGTGGCGTTCGGCGCTGTCGTTACGACACGCTGGAAAGTAAAAGTGAGTGGCGCGGGGCGAGGCATTTCTCCTACTTTCGCTGTGATTCACGCCAGCCAAGGTTGCTCCAGCCACTCCCGCGCCTCCCGTACAATATGCCACATTGAAACTGAATTAATTAGTTTTACTTGACATATAAGTTTTATTGCATTGATATAAAACGTAAGGTAACGAAAATTCTGTCTTTTTTGTTTCAGTTTAAAATCTAAATTGAACATTTATCCGATTAAAAACGAGTATTATTAATCTAAATGTTATCAAAAAATGAGAACGGATGAGAGCTGTGATATCATAGCTGAATCATAATTATTATAATGTTAAATTTATCAGAAGTATAGTATCAAAGTACCTACTTAACATGAATGGCTTTTAATTGGACATTGTTTCAGTTTAAAATGTTAAAAACTTCTTTGGGATTTGAAAATTTCGGGACTAAAGATTTTACTAAATAGTTTAAAGCTTATTAAGCTAAGCAAAACTTTCAATATAAAACAATAGAGCAAGGTTAATAAAGATAATTAATTAATTTACTAAAAAACACGTAAAAGTACATATTTTCACATGTTTAGTAAATTATTTTTTTCTTTATATACCGTGGCGTTTGTGCGCCTCCAAAACTAATGGTTTTGTCGAGAAATGAACCTTTGTGATATACATACGTTTTTGTACCTACAGTAGGTACTAAATTTACCTGTCGATATCGACACTGTAGTAGTGAGCTGAAATTTTCGAATAGAAATCTTGTACGACTTTCTCCTAACTCGTGTAAAATTTAAATTTAAATTCAACATCAGTTACACGAACATTTTACAGTACAGTTTTAGAATAAGAAAACTTCATCTTTATAATTCCTTAATGACATGCTGATAAAGTTCTTAGTAAATGGCTTATACTAATCTTTACAAAAATACACTCAAATATAGAACACACATGTGATTCGAATTAAAATTTCCCGCCAAGCTTGTCGATTGTCAGAGCTTGACATTTGACGTTTGACTTAAATGTAATGCAAGGGTCTGAAAAGTAGCTAAGTAAAATTTAGTACATTTGAGATGCTGTTTATTTTTATAATGAGAATTTTAATTATCAGTTTTTGCAAATAAAAATATGTAGATTTGCGAAAGCTATTACCATTAGGTATCACCAACGACAAGGCTAGGGTTAATAATTCGATATTATTATTAATTATTCAATCATTTAAGTTAATATAATATACATAAATATCTTATTTATATTATATGTACAGTGTACACCGGAATTTCAATGACTTGACAATATCTGTTATGTGTTGTAGGCTAAATATATGTTTTTCCTTATTTGCATAGATAATATATAATATATGTCTAGTGAATTTCTAGTATAAAGGTGGTGTCTAAGTCCGCAACTAAGTCTTATTTAAGAGTTTTTCTAGGTTATTTGTGTTTGGTGACTGACCATATCGATGGCGGACATAGAAAGGAAATACGGTGTCTCACAGACATAAATGAACTTAATATATAATTGAAGGAAAAATTCTACGAAAGACTAGGCGGTTGGTCGAAAAAAGAAAAAAAAACATTGCCTCACAGTCGACATTCTAAACTTAGTAAAAACATGACTTATCATTCGGATAAGTATATTCTTCTAGTGTAGTCTCTACTTCATATTGGTGATTCACAACTGACATCATACAATACAGAGTAAAGATCAAAGTCAATATTATGGACACACCCACCGTGTAATTTTTAATTAGACGTTTTGCTGCTTTGATTTTAATGCAAGAATTTTTTCCACGAACGATTTGTCATATATACATATTAAACTTTGAACGAGTACACAGTTTTTTCAATAGTTGATCAAGTAAATTAAATTAGCTCGAAGACTAAAACATCCATTTTTAGAATGTATAACATTCTGTTCAAGTTTCCATAAGCGACGTGATGAAAGTGAATGGAGCGAGAGAGGTATTTCAGGAAGCAAGTGGAGATCCGTGGCTTTTACCTATCCCTTCGAGAAAAACGCTATATAATATAAATAAAATAATTTATTAATGTATGTTTGTATGTGTAAGCCTATAAATGGATTTTTATTTATTCGTCTTATTTAGTTAGATTGTTTTGTTCCTTTTATGTGATACGAGAGCGATAAGGACCAATGGTTTAATAGTTCTTGAGGGCATAAAATAAACCAGCAACAACCTCTCCCTTGGCTTCAAATTTCTTTATCTGTTTCGTGATCATTATTTTCTTAATAGACAAGTAGGTCAGCACTCAGCTTTCTGAGGCTGACACAGGATGTCCTATAAAAGGTTGTAGCGCCACTGATTTAGTTTTTATTTGTAAAAAACTAAAATAACATCATTAAAATCATTCCAAGCCGTACAGCCCTGCGATTCTGTAACTCACTTTTCGAACTCACACAGTGGTTTTCACAGCGGCGGTCGCGCTTAAATCAGTCGTAAAGCAGTCATTTTACGATTTGGCATTCTGATAAACAATAAACTACAAGGAGGGACCTTATCAGAATGAGTGTGAGAGTTCGAAAAGTGAGTTACAGAATCGCAGGGCTGTAGTCGTAAGTGACAGTCTAAAGTCAATATTCATTTAGGTATCCATATGGAATCATACACTTATAAACGTCATTTAAGCCTAAGTTTGGCGGCCATAACAAAACGCGGTTTGCGCTGGTAGTCTGGTACTCTGTAATTTCTAATAACAAGTCAACAATCTCGTTGTTTTAGTATACACTTTCGATGTAGTTCTCTGAATTACGAAAACGCAATATTGGGATCGCTCCGTAGATTCCATTGATGTCAAAGTGACAGAGTACCGGTAGGTACTGATTTGTAAAAAACAGCAAAAATCTGTTAGGTAGTTTTTATTACCATATTTTATACTAAAAAGAACATATTTAAATTTTTGTTTATATATTTATATTTCAACTTTATTTTATTTTAGTTATAGTTACATGTTATTTTGTGTTTTTTTTTTTGTTAATTATTTATGCACTTCTTGTACTTTACCCTCGGTATGTGTTTCTTTTTTATTGTTCCATATTAGGGTTGCCTGGAAGAAATCGCTTGTTAGCGATAAGGCCACCCGTTGCCTTGTAACTTATGTAACCTGCTTTTTTTATATGTATGTTTTTGTAAAAGGTAACTAAGTGTTAATATATAAATATTTGGACTTAGAACACACAGTTATTATAACCTCGTGGTGGTATCATAGATATTTTCCCGTGTAAGAAAAAGCCGTGGGCAGATCAGCTAAATAAAGTTTCTTCCTGTGTTATTATTATCAATAAGGATGGATCATGAAATACATGCGGTCGACATTGAAAGTTGGCGTCAAGTTACGTAATGCTATACATCGGGCAAATGTATTGGGTATCATGTCACAAGAGCACGTGACCATTAGATACATCATACACGACTGCCACAGTAATATATGGTTTTAGGATTTAGGTACAAGGACTTGACGCAAGACCTGGAGTACCTGGGTTCGCTTGCCATCGAAACTTTCGAGTAGGCACAATCGATAAGTATGTCGATGACTTGTGTCTACATCATGCCCATTTAGAAATACGATTTCATATTAATAATAACGTTAAAGTTTTAGTTGACAAGTAGTTTATCACGCACAAATTCATGCAATAATATATAACAAAATAAATAAATCTATATAAAAATGTTATGTTGGCTTGTGTACGCTACAAAAACTCAAAAAGTTTTGCACCGATCGAGCTGAAATTTTAGCATGATATATATAATCCGCATCAAGTATTGTTTTTATCTATTTTTTCCACAAGTATTGCAAAATTAAACTTATATGAAATGTATTCTTTGTTTTGTTTCTCATTTCTCAAACATTCAATCACAATGTGCCACAGCGAAGCGTGGCAGGGACCAGCTATAGAATACAGTTATTAATAATAACTTTATTCATATACCTAGGTAAACAAGTACACTTATGAACGTCAGAAAAGAAGTTAAATTAATTCCAAATTTACATTTATTACCAGTTCGCTAGTCAAGGGCGTAGAGCGGGCAAGAAACTTTCTGCCACTCAACTTATTAACTTAATGGTATGAAATAAGAAAAATCTCCTTGGCACCTATGCGCTTTTCAAGCAAAGTTGTAAAGATCTTGTAAAGGACTTGCTTGTGAAAGAACAAATCGATAGATATATCTGTAACTTGACACAGAAATGTGTATGCCCCATTGGTTGTTACAAATGTAAAATTGGTAATAATACTATGAATAAAACTTTATTTATTCACATTCATAATTATATAAAATAAAATAGTACAACGGCTTTATAAGCGACCTTTTCCATATAACCCTATTAAAATAAAACAATAAGCAATTGTCAACGCAAGAGTGAGACGCTTATAATACAAAGAATAAGAATTTTGAATGCCAGAGTCTAATCTATACTCACGAGCAACAAAATTGTGTTCATTACGATATACATAATATTGATAACCTTAGCTTATCATTATTAACTCTTTCTAATGTAGGTTACCCAAATTAAACTATTTACAAACCGTTTCACTGTTTTTGACTGATACATTACGCTTTAAATCACATGCATGAAATATCGAAATCCTTACTAGGTAGCTTACTAGCTTCAGGTTTCTTGCACCTTTGGGACCATTATAAACAGAATAAAGATGTTATTTTTGTTACTTTGTTTGAATTAATTATTACCAACACTCCTTATATAATGAAATAAATAAGTACGATGATTAGTATTATAATTAACATTGAGTATAAAATTCGCAGCATTGTGCTGTGTTGGCCCAAAGGCTTCAGCGTGCGATTCTCATCACTGTGGTCGTAGGGTCGATTACCGGCTATGCACCAATAGACTTTCTGTCTTTGGCGCATTTCACATTCGCTCGAACGGTGAAGGAAAACGTAACGAAACCGGTTACCTTAGATCAAAAACGATGAAGGCGTGTGTCAGGTACAGGAAGCTGATCAGCCACATGCCTATATATATTATAGCACCAGTGATTTATTTTATAAAATTGGCTGGGTTTAGTTATTTTTGCTAAAAGCCTTCGCGTCTTGATAAGGATAAAAAGGTATATATATCCATATACTTATACTCTTTATATTGTGCTA